GTTTATACAGCTGAAGTGTTTCACATGCATTAAACTTGAAATCCTTGTGAGAAAATATTTTTTAATTGGTGCTCATTCTTACATGGCTAAATAGTTTCTAATAACTAATTTCTTTTTTTCAAGTTTACACGGCTGAAGTATTTACATGCTAAATATAGAAAAGGTTCACAATTTTCTTAACTAATACCTAATTTTTTATTTGATTGGTACCTTAAATTGTGTAAAAAAAAAAAAAGGTAACAAAAAAAAAGCAATTACTCAGCATTATAATCCTCAGCCCAAATTTGGGCCAGGTCACCCATCTAAGCTAACCATGTTCTAAATTTTACAGTCACATGGTGTGGATGCCTTCCTGATTGGTTGTTTTCTAGACTATAAAATTTATTGAACTCATTAATTTGCTGTGAGAAAAATCTAACAAAAAAGTGTTGTGATACTGGATGTTGTAATACATGCTTAGCCGTGTGAAAAAATTATCAAATGATTTACAATTATACAAGATAATTTGATTCTTATCCTATCAGATTGGTCTGACCCATTTCAGACTAATCTCGATCAGAATTAGCTAATAATATAAAAAACTCCAAGTTAGGTAAATATAACAGCCAAAAATTTTATATTACACCAAAAATATGAGAACTCACTCAATTACTCAAGTGAAGTTAAATTTTGTTCATTTTTTTTTATTAATTGTTCATATATTCACTTATACACTTTTTTACAAATAATTATAAACTGGCCTATTTTTAAATTAATAGAGACTGTATCTCGATGAGGCCGTGAAGACAAAAAATTAAACTATTCAGTAATTATCACCAACTTTTTTTAGAGAAAATGGAATAACAGATGAAGATTTAGAAGCAAAATTGAGTACCTTAAAAACAATCATAGAAGAAAGGAATTGTCTCAGAGAACAGATAAGACAACTTCAAAACACCCAAAGGATTGCATCTTAAATGATAAACGTACTTAATGATGAAAAAAAGCAATTTTTGGCTCAGATAGATGAACTACGACAAGAGAATACACAACTTCGTCGTGATCTCGAATATGAACAAATGATTAATGGAAGAACCATCAATAATCTTAGTAATCAGGTTAATACCCTCGAGAATCGAGAAAACATTTTTATAGCCATATTAAACAACCGAGGTGAAATATACAAAATATTGCATTATTTTTATTTTTATTTATATTATATTAATGAATTAAAAATTTAGGTCAAGTTATTCCAAGGTTGCGTAGACAAGAAGCTTTCATTTATGAGGAGGAAGATCTTGAAGCTAGTGATTAAATAAAATATGAAGTATTGTTAATCTTTTCAATTAATTTTTTATAATATAATTTTTTCATTCAAGTCTCTCAGTTGCAATTTTTTCATCATGTGAGACATTGTTAATTGAAGTGAATGGGCAACATCATCGGCTCTATTCACTAACTAATCTATTATTAAATAATCATTGTCGGCCAACATCATCAGCTCTGCTAATTATAATAGACCAGTCTTTGATTTCTTTGTAGAAAGTGTAAAGTGAATACATAAAGTAGTCA